CCTTCCTATGCAGCTGGAGGGGAAAGTGTCACAACTGGAAAGGAAAAGATGAAGCAACAGCACCCCTGACGCCAGTGTTTGTGGTGTGGAGGGGAGCAACGAATACCATTAGCAGATTTGGGGAAAGTTACTTTTGGAGGACTACAATTCCCAAAAGCCCCAAACCAACATGGCCAGCTTCTGGGAGCTGTAATCCCAAACAGTAGAGCTTTTCTAAGTGATGGCTACATGGCCTCTAACTCAGACACAAATGAGGGCCCAGGAAAACAGAAGTAAGGAACACCGCTGTGGGCAGGAGAGAGACCCAAGCCGATGGCCTCCTAGAAGCGAACTATTTCTTGCACCACTTTGGGGGAGGTTAATCTTGAGATTAGGGGACGTGGTGGCGCTGCGGGCTAAACCGCAGAAGCCTTTGTGTGCTGCAGGGTCGGAAGACCAGCAGTCGTAAGATCGAATCCACGCGACGGAGTGAGCTCCCGTCATTTTGTCCCAGCTCCGCGCCAACCTAGCAGTTCGAAAGCATGTACAGTAAATGCGAGTAGATAAATAGGTACCACCACGGTGGGCAGGTAAACAGCGTTCCGAATCTAAGTCGCACTGGCCATGTGACAACAGAAACTTTCTTCGGAGACGTGACAACGGAAACTGTCTTCGGAGAAAACGGTGGCTCTACAGCTTGGAGACGAGGATGAGCACTGCACCCTAGAGTCGGACACGACTGGACTAAAAATGTCAAGGGGAACCTTTACCTTTACCTTTTTAATCTTGAGATTAGCCAAATCCACTAGATACGAAGGACTGTAACAAAGACGTGTTCTCGGTTTAAAAACAGCTTAATAATTAAAATACCGGGGAAGTACGTTAATTGATTTTAGTGCTACTAAGCTAGGCTATGCTGGGTGTTTGTTCCAGCGAGACAGAAACACTAGCTGGCTGATTCCCTTTCTCACACAATGATGAGCTTGTATTTATCTGAAGATAAGCGTGAGGAAGCGACACAGATGAAGGAAGGCCAGGAAGAAGCATGAAGCGGGTATCATCCTCAGGCAATGAATCCCTTTATTCTCTCCGGTTTCTTTGCCAAACCTGGAGGGCAAGGTTAAGCCACAGACAAGTGGCTTTTGTTACTCCCTCTATCCAAGTCTAAACTATTTACTTTTTGAGATTAATCTAATATTTGTCCTTGGACTGCCACTTGCTGCATTTTTTTTTCTTTCATTTCAGGCATTTTGTCTTTCAAAGCTGAATGGCAAGTATCTGATTCAACAGATGCAGCTTTTTTTTCTCAGCTAGAGAAAGCTTCGCCTGATCAACTTGTACCTGCCCTTTCAAAGGCAAAGCAGGGAAGGGGCCATATTAAAACAATCCTCTGTTGGATTCTTTGGCCATGAGCAGCATAGAAAGACAGAGAGTGTGTGTGTGAGACACAAGCGGACATAGCAATAGACATAGCAATTCAGAAGCCCTTGATTTGAATCCTTGCTCAGGTGTGGAAACTTATATAGGGTAGTACTGTAGTGGAGGCGACTGGAAATCACCACTGGAATATCTCACGTACCAAGAACAAAGTACAGAAACACCTCTTGTTACTGAGAGGAATTTCATATTTTGCATATTTAGGATAGAAATGTGTTTGTTTGAAATATTTTACCCCATCTTTCTCCCCAGAGGGCCCAAGGCAGCTGACACGATTAAAGGGACAATATTTAAAAGCTAAAAGCAGTAAATATACAAATATTTTAAAAGGTTTAACAAGTATCATATTAAAAACGATGAATAAAATCAATACTAAAAACACATTTAAGAGTAAAAGCTCCAGTTGCAAAATTTTTCAGAACTAAGGGTAATCTTCATGCCATGAAATGTTTGACTTTGTGGAAGAGGCCATTATTACGTTATCATACATTAATTACGGCCTGTACCTTCCTAAGCCCTCATTAACTGATCCTTGTGGAAAGACATATTCGGTGAAATATATTTTTACATCATAGCTTACAAACTTCTAATACAGTACCTGAATTGAATCACTAAATACTTACAAACAAGGTAAACCTCTGAGTTGCCCTCTGCTCTTCTGCAGGCTTAGGTGTTTAAAATATGTGGGAATAAAGGAAGAGACTCCTGCTAGATCTAGAAGAAGAAGAGACTGAGAAAGGATTGAAGTTAGTGTGGGAACAAGACTTAGGAAAAAGAATAAATGATGAAGAATGGAGGAAGATGTGGGAAGTGAGGGTTTTATGATTTATGTCGGTGAGAATAAAAGAAAAAAATGTCAAATTGGGTTTAAGACGGTATTTGACACCGACAAAATTTAATAAAATTAATATAGTTATCTGAATGTTGAAAATTGGTGCATACTTTCATATGTGGTGGGAATGCAAAAAAAGTACAAAGATTTTGTAAACTAATCTTTAAAGAACTAAATGACATATGTTAAAAATAT